AATAATAATATATTATTATTATTATTATCATCTAATGTTCTCAACTCCCCCTACCTGCCTGCTCAGCCGCAGTGCTCTCCAGTCAGAATCCTCCGCTGCGTCCACCGATTGGTTGCGATTTCCTGAAGGTGAAGGTTGTTTTGAGGGGGTCAGAAGTGACGGAATTTGGAGGTTCTCGCGCTTCATGGTTTCAGAATCAATTATGTTCCTTTGTTGTAAGGTTAAAACAGCACCGAGACATGGATGGCTGGTGCCTCTATAAATAAATTATCGATGGTCGTTTGTTGTAATACGCCCAATTGTCATCATCTGGTGCTTAATGATAGTACTGACTATTATGGAAGTTTTTGAATATTCTGACTTCATTTATCAGCCGAAATAGCCCTTTAATCCCTGCTGAATATAGCTATGTCTTTTTGTTTTCGGTGTTTATCCATCAAATAGCTTTGTTCAACAGTTTGATCACAGCCTGAATAAAACGTTTATTCTTTTATGCAAAAACAGTCATCGAACTTTGTATGGAAGATAAATGAAAAGATGAGTCTTGTGAGTTTCCCTATATTTTACTTCACTGACTATCTTCTGCTATTTATATCTCTCCCGAATATCAAACCACGCTTCTGATAGGTCCGTTCAGAGCACAAAATTCTGTAAGAATGATTGGTTGTGCTTAGAGGGCTTATATTTGAATAATAAACTTATGTGGTGTGTTATCGTCGTTTCTAGGCCTATACTCCACCAGAACAACTTTGCATGATGTAGAACAAAGATCTCCGCGCCAGGGAAGTATGATATCATTATAAAGTTTTCTGGTCTGTCCTCCTACGTAATTGTCTTTCTACGAAGCAACAACAGCTCTTGACAGCCGATAAGGCTACTCTTCGTTGCCTGAAGTTTGTTCTTAACCACCCCCTTGTCCGCATGCGTCTCACCGCATGTCCATAGTTCTGCTTCTCAAATGAGATATATACCCAAAATTAAGTACATGTTTAAGTATAGTGCACAGACAGGGTATCCGGGGCTGAAAAAGGGGGGGGGGTTAAAGGATCCGTGTCGAGGCCAATAACTTGGTCATCTTTGGACCAATTTCAAAAATATTTGGGCTTTGTAGGCGTTGAAGTAGCATATTATAGTTCAACCTGAGGCGTGTGGGTGTCGTTCATTTGCATGCGTCCATACTATAATATACCTAGAATATCAGGAGATGTCATCTCTGACTCATAGGTTGACGTGTACTGACCCTCCATCGCTCACCGTCGCGAGCTGCCGTTGCACATTCTGCTATATTCAGGCCAATCCATGTTTTAATGTTGTCCATCCTTGTTACGTTTTGTCTTCCCCTGGCTCTCCTGCCCCATATCCTTCCTTCAAGCACCTGTTTCACAGTGGTCTGATGTCGTTTTAGGTGATCAAAGTATTGTAGTTTTCTAAAATTATATTTTGTCTTGGTTGGAGAATCTGACACTCCTAATTGTTCGTCTTTTTCGTTTTCTCTTTTGATTTTAGTTTTTCTTGCTTTTTTGAGGGGTCTGTTTGTTGTTGTTGTTGTTGTTGTTGTTGTTGTTGCTTGTTTGTTTGTTGGTTGTTGTTTTGTTTTTTTTGGCTTTCTATACCATATACATCTATGTAAAAGTAACATTGTTAAATACATTTTTCGAAAAAAAAAAAAGAAACATACCTTTCGAACCCTGTCTTGTCACAGAATTCTTGTTCACCTCTTGTTCCCCTGCTTTCTCTTCACTCTCTTGAGCCTTCACGACAGCCATAATTTTGGCGCGGTTACCTTCCATTTTGATTAATTATAAATCAAACCGTTGCCGGTACCTCAACACGCGTCTTTATGTCTCTTTGAACTTCCAGATAGTTGAATTTTCGGTACAAAGTTTCATTCAAGATACATGAATTAATTAATTTTTTTAGAAACAAAAGAAAGAAACAAACAGAATGGACACTGTTTTTCCACGACGGCGGCTCGTTGAAAAAATCTGGAAAATTATCATGATTCTAGAAAATTATCAATATTTTCTTTAACAAACAAACGAACAAACAAAAATAAAACAAAAACTAGCGGCTTCCGTTAAAAAGACAACAAATCTAGGAAGCTATAATGATTCTAGTCAAACTTCTGACTCAACAGGTGAGCAAAGTATGACGTCAAAGAAAACATCTGTGGAATGTCTGTGCTGACTAAGATGCTTCAGATTATCTGCCAGCGCCACCTCTGTCAGCGATGGTTGACACTCTGTCAACATTACTGGAATCTGAAAAACACAAAAAAATTATATAATATGAGAGGCATCGCGGTGAAATCAGGCTCTCGTCTAAATTATAAAATCAAAGAAATCGGCATTTTTTAAAAGGGGGGGGGGGCGATTAGTAATTATAGTCTAATTTTCATTTTTTTGGCTCAACACATTTTATGTCCATTTAAACACACATTTTTGGGTGTATTATACTGGAAAACATTGATTAAAGGATTTTCAGTTTCCAAGGACTCTCTGGCTATGGAAGTTAACAAACTTTTGCAGCCATTTTCTCGTTAATTTTACTTCTGAAACCAGACGACCCTGGCCTCCTCACCTTCAATCGCAACGGCTTCTTTTTATCAAAGATGGATATTTTTTCACATCGAAAGGAAGGCAAATGAACAAGCTTTAAGGTGATACCAATATCTCCACAAGCCCAAAAATTGACGAGCGTCGGATTCCACCGCGTTGTGACCCATTTATTGTACACGTAGCGCGTGTGATGAGACCACACAGATTCCAATACCGGGCACATCTTCGCTGCGTCATTGTATAAAGGTTTTACGGCGCTCGCAACTGCATAAGGTCATATGAGCGCCAGAAGATTAGAGATGTTACTAGAGAGTAACGAACATAAAAAAGAAGAAGGGGAGATAAGGACGATAGATGTTTGACAGGAAAGAAGAAGCAAACCACACCAGAGCACCCGCCAACCACGTGCGTGATCTGATAAAACGCATTTTTCTCAAAATCAAGGTTTTGAGATAATCGCAATTTTGTGGGGGGGTTTTACTACTTAAACAAACACATGTGAGGCAGCGTGGTGGAATCAGGCTCTCGTCAATTTTTAGGCATGTAATGATATTGGTATAATCTAAAAGGTTGTTCACTTGTGTTTATTTGGATGAAAAAAATATCCATTTATCTTGAATACAAGTCGAGCTATTTGCGAAAGAAAGAGGTGGGGGTCACCTGTTTTCAGAGGTAAAATTAGTGAGAAAATGGCCGCCAAAGATTAGTTATTTCCTTAGCTTAAGAGTCCGTGTTAACTAAAAATGTACATCTTTTGTGCCTTTAATAAACGTTTTTCAGAAAAAAAATCCACACAGAAATGAGTTCTTTAATGCGCATGAAAGGTGTTGAGCCCAAAAACAAAAATTTGATGAAAATTCACAAACGTGTGGAAAAATGGAAGTTTCTTCACTTTGATTATTTTGACGAGAGCCTGATTCCACCACGCTGCCTCACAAATAGCAATGTTGTTTTTGTTTGACTATCCCACATGAAGATATATCTCATTTACCATGACTAAACCGAATCTCATCGACTTTGAGTTAAAGACAAACACACAAATAAGAAGAATGCGTTTCATCCGGTCACCCTTGACTGGCACATGTAGCATGTTTTATTCTCTGTTACGAACACTAAAGAGCTCATTAGGCGAAAAACAAATGAAGACTACAAAAAAGCTTTTTAAAAATTTTCTTCAAAAGATATAAAAAGAAGAATACCAATAAAAGATACCCCCACAATCAACATAATAATAATAATAAATGACGATGACGACGACGACGACGATGATGATGATGATGATGATGATGATGATGATGATGATGATGATGATGATGA